GACAAAGCGCGGCGGCGGCGGCACGGACACCCAGGCCGACCCCGCCGACCCCCGCCAAACGAGCGGGGCCGGGAGCCCCGGAAACCCGGCGCCTTAATGCAATAAACAGGAAATCGCGGGGATGATCTGGGTTCCGGGGGAAGTGGAATTATTTTTTACCAGCGAAGAGATCAACTTCCACATCCGGTGGTAACAGGGCCCTACACAGACCCGCACTGACCTGGAAAAGCTTCGGGAGCGGCGGCGGGGGAGCAGCGGGAGGAGGTGCGGGGACCGCGGCGCCTCGGAGCCGGCAGGGCTGACGCGGCCCCGCCACACACAGAGCGCTTCGCTGCACAGGGCGCTATTTTCCGAAAATGCCGCGTCTGGTCGGCGCCCAAAATCCCCACCGAAAAGTCCCCGTCGGCGCGGAGGGACACGGCGGGCGAGTTCCCAGCATGCCTGCGGAGGCCTGGCCAGCCCGCGCCGGTTTCCGCCCCACTGCCCCCGGGAGCAGGCCTGCCGCCACCCTCCCCGGGCCCTGTTCCGGAGGGAGAAAGGGACGAAAGGGTCTGATTTTGACTTTAAACAGAGAGAAAGGAAATAAGCCATTTCTAGCGCTCGGCCACACAAAGGCTGCGGCGGAATGATCCACTGGGCGACCGCAAGTCCCGGCTCGCCCGGCGCCTGCGCGGCAGCGGGGTGAGCGCTGCGGAGGCCATGTGCGCGGCCGGGTGTTCACTCTGCGCCGTGGGGCGGGATGTGTGGGAGTTGGGGTGCGTGTGCTGAGCGTCCTTTCTCCCCGGAGTGACACGTGAATCGCAGGGACTGCGGGACGGTTGGGGCTTAAACTTGCTCGTGGGGTGTTGTAGTAGATTCCCGGCAGGCGGAAGGGCAGCTAGGAACCTAGGATTTACCTTAAAGTGGTCCAGGAAGGTAGACCCGGAGTCGCTAGTTGAGGTTCCAGTACAGGAACAAAAGATGTGTCCTCTTCACCTGGCATAAACTGCTCGTGTGTGATGAGGATGTTTCTGCGGCTTTTTTTTTTTAATGTTGTAAGAGTGACACTTTTCGCCGTGTCTGCAATGTCAAGATTTTTTACCCCCTAGATAGAATCTCTCTGTAACAGCCCTGACTGACTTGGAGCCCAGTTTGTAGTCCAGAGTGACCTCGAACTCAGAGATCCTCCTGCCTCTGCCTCCGGATTGTTGAGATTAAAAGCGTGTGCTACGCCTGGCGTTGAGTTCCTTTTTTAATGTACCAAGAGTTTATTGGGAGATGGTGATTCGTGAAGGAAAAGCCTTATAAATTTTAACTTAAACGAGATTTCCAAAGCTACACTTTGGTGTGTAACAGGGAAGTGGAACTTTTGGCATCTGGTGTCTAGGAATGGGAATATCTGAGACACTTCCGGCAGTTTATCCTAAGAGCAAAAAAGGCTTAAATGAGATCCAAATAGTCCGTGTGTGTATGTGTGTGTGTGTATATCGCCTCAATTACGTAATCATTGTGTCTCCACTTGCCCTTTTTACTAATATGGTGGAAGTTTCTAGTCAGTGTGACTTAATTAGAGCATAGCAAAGTAAACTATGGGGGCCATGGTCGGTCTTTTTTTTTTTTCCTTTTGATTTAATATTCTATTGTTTTGGGTGTTTGTTTTTGTCATGAGGCAGACTCTCACTCTGACGCTCTGGCTGTCCTGGAACTCAAAATGTAGACCCAGCTGAGCTCAAACTCCCAGAGATCTCCCTGCCTCTGCCTCCCAGTTGCTGGAATTACAGGTGTGTGTCTATGTGTCCTGCTGTTAAGGTTTTTCAAATTGTCACACCTTCCCATTACATTTGGAGTAAATATTTAATGATTGCCGCAGAATCTTGCTTTTGTTGTGCTATAGGATATAGACAAGTATACATCATCGGTGATTATGATGGCAGAAATGTTGCCCAAGTTGATGCGGTTTCTGAAGGAGATAACACACACGCACTAACCTGGGCAGGAAGAATCAAAGGGGTCCACAGAAAGCAATTCTCTTTAATAAGGGGATTGGTGAAGGCCCTCCAGCCAAAGGAACAATAATACAAAAGTTTAAGAGGCAAGCACAGGGAAGACTGAGTAAAAAAGACATCATTTTAAGCATTCCCAGAGATGGACCTGTGGAGGTTTAGTGACAGCCTCAAATGTTATGTGAATGAATGAATTGATACCCTTGGTAACTGTTCAGAAAAAAAAAAGTCCAAGGCATGGAGAAAGAGTCATTTGGAAGGCAATAATGACTTGGATTGAGGTAGTCACAAGTAGAAATGAAGAAAACCACAACTGGTTGAAAATTCGAAGAATTTGCTTGACTGGATGAGAATGTCTGAAAGAGATGTCACAGATGACTGCCGTGTGCGTCAGAGGAGTGCCAGAAGGAGGGTGGTGTGTTCACTGACAGCAGACACTAAGGGAGAGGAATGTGGAGGAATGTGTGCTAGGGAAGGTGGAGCCTCTGTTGACCACATAAAAACTACGGGCCTGTCTAATCAGTTAAGTTGGATTCCTTCAGCAGGTGTTGGAGCGCCCATTCTACCTGATAACCATTCTCTGTGCTAGAAAAGATAAAAGTAGCAACAAAGAACATGGTTTCTGATCCCATTTCTAGTGAATGGAAGAGAGACTAAGGATTTAAAACAAAGACGAGAGATAATGTCCCATAGTAGTTTCACAGAAAAATAGAAGGGCAGCTGAATAAAGTAGTTCCCCGGGTGAGAACGCGGACAGAAACCTGGCGCTCGGTCAGAGGTGGTCTCCGCTGAGGTTTGGTCTGAGCTAGGCCCTGACTGGGAAGAAGTTAGGGCAGTTTGTGAAATCCAAAGGGAGGTCAAAGACGAGGTCATTGTGACTGGAGGGGAGGGGAACAAAGAAGGGCCGGAAGGAAAGAAAAGTCTGCAGCTTTGGTAAGATGAAGTCCTTGAAAGCCTTGAGGAATGGAGAAGCATGGGCATAGCAGTAGAGATGGAGAAAGCAGATGGGGCCGAAAGACAGCTGATATTAGACATACTCTGTATGTTCGTTAAGTGGAATGAGGGAAGGAAGAATCAATAGTGGGATCTAAGCGTTGAGTATGACTAACGCTGCCACTAACAGGTAGAAATATAAGCTACATATAATTTTGCAGTAGTTGCATAAAAAATGTGAAATTAAAGTCTTACTGAAATATATGCCAATATTATATGTGATATAAAATATAGTTTAATGTTTTACGTTCTTTTTCTTGCTATTTGAAATCTAGTGTATAAATATAGTTAAAGCTTATCTCAATACCTGATTTCATAAAATTTATCTTGAAAAGTTGATTTACCTAGCCTCTTGGTTCCAGACATTAAGCCATGCTTATTTTAACTGTAAGATGAAGTTAACGTTTTGAAAATAAATTTCTAAATTAATCAGATTTAAATTGAATAATCCTAGCACTTGAGAGGCAGAGGCGGGCAGATCTCTTTGCGTTTGAGGCCAGCCTTGTCTACATAGTGAGTTCCAGGGCTGTCAGAACTATGTAGGTAGGCCTTGTCTCAAAAAAGGGGGGACAGGGAAAGAAAAGTTTTTCTGAAGGCTGAGGATACAGCTCAGCAGTAGAGTGCCTGCCTGTTGTTAGCAAAGCACTGAATATCCATAGCACTACCAAAGAAAGTTTGAGGCTAGGCCAGAAAGCCTTGAATGCTAAGCTAAAGGATTGTGAAACACTGACCCAAGTGTGGTATTTGAGCCGCGTTATAGTTAAGACTAGAAAGAGGCCACTAGGTGGCCATCTGGTGACTCCTAAAACCAATGTTTCATTCCATTGTTTTGACTTTATGAAATCCAGTTTTAGTTTAGTTCTAGAACAATGCCACCAAAAGTCTAATCCATTAGTTAGTGCCAATCTGCAGACCCTCCCTTTGTTACCACCCAAGACATTTAAGAAAGTAAAGAATTCAGAAGTGTGGAATAGAGATTAATATCCAGAAATGTGCCCTCCAGAGCTGTATTGTTGCATGGTTTTTTGCTTTTTTTCCTGACAGGGTTTCTCTGGCTGTCCTGGGACTTGCTCCATAGACCAGGTTGGCCTCAAACTCTGCCTCCTGAGTGCTAGGATTAAAGGCGTACACAACCATGCCTGGCTGTTGCATGTTTTTTTTTTATTCCCCTTTTCTAATAATTTTTGTTTTATAAACATAGCTCTTTGGCCATTTGTTTTGGTTTGATTTTGGTTTTGGCTTTTTGAGACAGGTTTTCTCTGTGTAACAACTCTGGCTTTCCTGGAACTCACTTTGTAGACCAGACTGGCCTCAGACTCACAGAGATCTGCCTGCCTCTGCCTCCCAAGTGATGGGATTAAAGACATGTGCAACCACTACCCAGTGTTTGGCTTTTTTAAGGAGGGCTTATCGTGTAGCCAAGACTGGCCTCTGTGTAACTGAGAATGGCCTCCAATTTCCTGATCTTCTAGTCCACACCTCCCAAGCAGATGACAGGCATGCACCACTACATATGGTGGTGCTAGGGATCAAATCTAGAACCTAGTGCATGCCAGACTGGGTCTCTGTTAACCAAGCTACACCACAGCCTTTCAGATCATTTTTGTGATGTCGTGAAGAGGGTGAGAAGGATCAAGTTTTCAGAAGATGCTAAATCTAAGTTTTTTGTACTTTATAATGACAACTGTTATTAATGAAAGAATATTTCATGTTCTTCCATATGGACCCAGAGAACTGCATAAAAACAAAACTATATAGCTGCCACTTTTTAAAACTTTATTTTATGTGTATGGGTGTTTTGCCTGCATGTATGTCTCTGTTCATGCTTGGTACCTGGGGAGACCAGAGGAGACCAGAAGAGGGTGTCAGATCCTCTAGAACTGCAGTTATAGATGGTCATGAGCTGCTATGTGTGTGCTGGAACTTGAACTTTGGTCCTCTGGAAGAAAAGCCAGTATTCTTAACTGCTGACCCATCTTCCCAGACCCCTAGCAGCTGTTTATTAAATGCTACCCACTAGGTATAGCCTGTAAATACAGTGTCTCAGTGCTCAAAATAATTCTGCGGAACAGGTATTATTAAGATGAATTTTCTGTGAGGAATTGTGCTTAATAACTTGCCTCACATCACCAAGAACCTACATCTTAGAGTCGGGGTTCCAAACAGGCCTCTAGTTCTGCCCAGGCATCTAGGGGGTTCCCTGGCACAAAGAAGCAGTACATTCTTTAGAGAGAATGTGAAATTGCTACCTTCAAAAGATTCCCCAGTGAACTTAGGGAACAAATGGTATTCTGAGTCCATTTTGTCGGGTACTAGAATAGCTGCACCTGCTGGCTGCGTGGGTCTGTGTGCACAGCGTGCCTTTTCTGTCCCTTCACCCTAAGGAGGTGTCTGTTGTTGATGGTGAGATGTGTTTCTGGGAGGCAGTAAAACAATGGATCCCATTTTCTAATCCAATCTATT